GGGTGGTGGGGAAGTGAGAGATTGGCATGTCCGCTAGAGAAATAGAACTGTTGAAATAATCATGTTTCTTGTTACTTTGATTTTATAACGCAAAAAAATTGCAATTGATAGAATGTATGAACTGAATGTTTGCTTAACTCGCTAGCTTACGTTCCACAGGATTACTTGGTTGTATAAATATTTGTAATTTATGAATAAAATAAGAATTGATTAAAGTATATTTTGTGCATGATGTACATACATTCTTAGGGGTGTACTGGAGTGCTGAATGTCTTTGCCCTCTTGTGCAATACGCCATACTGTTTCTCTCATGTATTCATTGTCTGTTGACAATGTTTTTTCCTGTTTTCTTTGTTTGTTTTGGTATTTAAAAAATACTTTAAAAAATCTGTTTGACTCCTTTGTGATGGAGAGTCATTGTTGATTGAATATTTTCGCTTTGATCTGTAGAAAAAAATCCCACAAATTATTGATGATTCTCAGCGTTTGGAAGCATTTTGACGAATGTAAAGGTCTCGTGAACACATTCCTGTTCACGACAAATTTAGTGGATGCAACATGGACAAATATGCACACACGGTCACTGTAAATAATGGACCATGCCATCGCTCATGGAACTTTTATGGAAGTGTTGTAATTTGTATTTATGTATATATGTGTTTGTATAAGCGTGCATATACAATGTATGTACGTTGTATCTACGAGGGGGTTCAATAAGTCTTTGGTCTGGGTATGAAGGAATCATGGTAGAGTAATGAAATTTCGCCAGCCTTTAGATATTTTCTTTGGAACACCCCATGCAATTTTTTTTTAAATCTGATATTTTAAGGCACTAGTCAGCGTGTTCACTGAAACTATGTGCAAAAACGTTTGTTTTTCTTGGATGAAGCTGGGCCATGGAGCCTGTTGAATTGCTCAGCTATACACTTTTTTTAACACTTGCAAGGAAAATCCCCTTCAGTCATTTTTTTAGGAAATGGTTCAAGTTTAAGGCGACAAATGTCCTCGTTATGATCCTGTGAAACACTGGGTAAGGCAATTCAAATCTGGATGAAGATCGTGAATCGCGCCCATCCTTTGGGGTATCTGAAAAGAATATCCATAGTGAAGAAACTGGTTCTACAAGACCGACATATAACAGTTTAACAGCTCTCAAGTGAAATGAGAATCAGTGTAGGGTCAGTTGAAACGATTCTTCAAGACCTTCTTAGCATGAATAAGGTGTCTGCACGGTGGGTACCCCGCCTTTCGACAAGTGAGCAAAAGAAGCTGAGGTTGAGTCAAGCAAAACCCCCATTTGAATTGAGTCCATTGACACATGGTGACTAAGAATGAAACATGGATTACTCATTTCATTTTGATCCAGAGCAAAAAGATGTCCTGAATACAATGGATAACCTCTATTTCTCCCTCACCAAAGAAGCCAGAGGTAACACCGTCAAGTGGAAAGGTCATACTGTCATAGTTCTGGATTTGTGAAGGTATCATCATGACTGACTACCTGGAAAATGAAGAAAAAAGCCACAGGAGACTACTACTCGGTTTCGCTGATAAAATTGCCGTCTGAATGGGTGAGAAAAAGGCATGGAAAACTCCGTAATGGGGTCCTCCTACTGCATGACAACGCCCCTGCGCTCAGGGCACAATAAGCAGACTAGACAGCAGAACAGTGCGGCTTTAAAATCCTGCCACACCCTGCTTATTCACCAGACCTAGCCCCCTCTCAGATTTGTATCTGTTTTCTAATCCAAGAAAATCACCCAAAGGACACCGTTTCCATGACAACAAGGTCACCATTGAAGCTGTTGAAGGCTGGTTAGGGTCCTATTCTGGGTCATTTACTTTCAAGGAGATTTGAAAGTCAAATAGAGGTGGCAGAAATGTGTTGCTCTGCGTGGTGACTACGTAGAAAAATAAATGTATGTGTGCCAAGTTACAAAGCTTTATCTATATTCCTTCATACTTAGACCAAAGACGTTTTGAACCTCCCTCGTATGTGTGTGTTTGCATGTGTATGTATGAGTATGTGTTTATATGTGTGCGCGCGTGTGTGTTTGTTTGCGTTTGTTTGTGTGTGGGTGTGTTTGTATGTGTGTGTGTGTGTGTG